CAAGCATCAATTTCCTTTTTGATTTCACCAATGTATACTACTACTACTACTACATATACCTAAATAAAAATTTAAACCTTCACAGCACTGACACAAAACATACTAGTGCATGTAAGTAGTCAGTCAATTGATCAGATGGTAAGCCATGCAATGTAACGGGCCGAGTTTTCTCTTTTCAATAATTTACCATCCAGCTACTGTTTTCTGTAGTATTCTATTTACTCATATACTTATTTGTTCTGTGTAGCATTCCTCCAATGAGTACCCTGTTTAATATACTTATTCTCCTTCCATTCTTTACATATATATTTATTCTTATATGTTCTTACTTATATTCTTATATGTTCTTTACCTCTATATACCTTATATTCTCATATATTCTTATATAAGTAACTCTTATGCTTCTCTACTTATGTTGTCCAAGTCAAGGTTCTTTCTTTTCATTTCCTTTCATATAGATTGTATTCTCAGTTTCAATGTTCTTACCTTTCTGAAGTATACTTTGTTTTATGTCTTTCTTATACATGGGTTAGTCTGGGGAACCATGTTATTCTTTGTATAACACCTTTTATACTTACAAGGGGTAGCTGCCACCACCCAGACTTTTCATTATATAACAGAACTCATGGAAGGGTTTTGGGTAGTGTGGTAGATGTATAGGCACGTGAGTAAGTATTATTTTCTGGGAACCAATGTTTAGAAGGAGTAGAGTGGTGATACTCAGATTACTAACTCAATATTTATTAATACAGTGAGTGGAGAAGATGCATCTTAGATTCACTCAGGCTAAACAGAACCGAAATTAACTTATTAAGTCATCAAACACTTCAAGAACTTATTACCTCATTAAACACCTCCAAATATTCATTACTTTATTGGATACTGTTGTAGTATTTCTGTGACAAGTAAGATTTAGAAATGCTTACACACTGTCAATAACCCTGGACCCGCAGGTCTTACTTTAACAAGGAACAAATTACCTTCTCAATTCGTGGTTAGAACATCATACTCTCAGGTTATTCTTTCATGGGTACTACAGATGAATACATAACACACTGGGCAATTCCACAATTAGTAACATACCATAATTCTTATCACTTCACAAGGAACCACCTGGTACCTTGAACTCTCATTCAGGGGTTCAATACTTAACCCGGGATACTATATTTCTGCTAGTTATCCCTCCAAACATGGGCCGACACTGCTCCATGCAATAGATGAAGTACCATCTCCAGGTGGAGTCAGCGGGCACAGTTGTTTACAGCGACCGCCAAGCTGAAGGCTCGCTCGCTAGGTGCACTCAGGGAGGTTGACTCGTTACACACTGGCAGAGTGGTGAGGGCGCTTCCCGGGGGAATCGTGTCCTGGGATTCTAAATGCGCCCTTAGAGACAGTCTTCAAGAACCATGGTGCCCATAGGTAGTTATCGACCCTCAGGAAAGTGGCTGTAGACGTGGAAGAAGAGTCACGAAAGATGAATATTTAACTTCACTATACAAAACATACGTCTGGCACCGGTTCAGACGATAGCTAGAGCTCTACTTTACTTGACTTAATTGGCACTGAAGGTACTATGTTGAAACATGAACACTGATATTCGCAAAAATGACTAAGTTAAACTGAGTTAATATGGCGGCGTGGAACACAGGTGAACATACCTGTAGACGTGGAAGAAGAGTCACGAATGCGTGATTCTCCCCCACCTGGTCTTCCTCCCTAAATGCCACACAACGTAAACACCTAGAAAAAGTGCAAAAGAGGGCATGCAAGATTATTCTCTCCCCTTCCTACTCCACATATCAAGAAGCGCTCAACACACTGACCCTTTCGACTCTCACTGACCATCACCACGACCTCATCTGCAAATTTGGTAAGAAGCTTCTACACCATCCCCGACACCGGCTCCTACTACCACCTGAGATCCCCTTGTCCGAGAATTGCTGTTCGACACCACAACCGCATCCAGCCCATACGTGCACGAACTGATCGCTATAAGAACAGCCCAGTCCCAACCATTGTAAAAATTATCAATAACTTGTAATAAATCAGTGTATTCACTCCCAGTAAACACTGCTCCTTACACTGTCACTATGTTGAAATGAACTGTAGTTTGAGCTTTTCCACATCTAGTTATTATATGTCTTACTTGTGTCACTTATGTTACTTGTATATTATTTGTAATTCGTAACCCATTCCCCAAATATGTAACTGTATATTTTCAGCCTTCTGGCTGCCAAGCTCTTTCAATAAACCGTTAATTATTATTATTATTATTATTATTCATGCTAGAAAGGTCGATCTTACCAACAACATACCTTCTCTACCATTTTGGATCACCGTATACTTAATTGTGAACTCCGGTGTTCCGGATCAGGGTAATTTCTTATGTCTATTCATATAATCTAATCAGAGGTTGAGCTTGCCAGGAAAAGGTGGAATATACACGTTGATAACAACAATTCTGCAAGCTCAGGCCTGAGGCGGACAAAGAGCTATTCACAGGGAGACGTTAGATCTTGGAGATTATACCAGTTGACAGAATAGTTCAGGAAATTAATGACTTTCTTAAATAGATAACTGACACAAATTAAACTATAAACATCAGATTCTCTGATGTCGGGGCGACAAAATGATCTAACTTCAGGCGCGATCAGAAGCTCATGGATATTCTCAGGGAACGAAACCGATGGGTATCGTTTGTCCTGGCAGACTCAACACTCACTCACTTACTTGACACGTTCTACTAACGATAAGGACAGTTGAAGCATTCTACCCCACTCACAATGGATCTTGAATGTTCCAACTGTAAACAGACATATCTAAGTTGACTCAAAACAAGGGTGTTCTCTCTCACACTCAAATTCATTTTATAGAGAGGTTGGTTTCAGTAAGTCAGAGAAAATGGGATAACGGAGGACTGAGGTGTCTTGAAGTGATGAGAAAACGGACTCCTCAGATGGAGGACTCAAACGAAAGCCGAGTTACATGTTTTGTGGGCTATTGAGCGTAATATGAATCATTTGATTTTGGCGCTAACTGAAGTGTACGACCGTGGTCGTTACAGCAACACCTTAAGCCAAAACAGCAGCACAATAATATGTCACATGGAATAGGAGATTATGAAGTTGAGGGTAATCACAAGCAACCTATTATCCTTCAACCAAGCCCACAATAAGGTAATGTAAAAGGAACATAATGCAACAATACACTTACAGCCTTAGACTGGTAACAGTTTTACTGAACAAGAACCAATCACAAAGCTATTGGCTAAAAACAGCAAGCATTATTGTTGCCTAAAAATCACAATTTCTCATAATAGTAAAAGTTAAATAAATAATGTACAGAATATACCTATCCTCACCACCCATGATAGTAGGTAGAGTATTATGAGGCAAGTGCCGTGCAATGAGAATTCCTCAAGCTCACATTCTACGAAGTTCCTAATGCTATTGAAAGGCTCTCTAATCATAAATTAAATATATAGTTGATAAGGGGATAATGTAACTATAATTATACAAATGTTTACTTGATAAGGAACAATCTAACTGTACAACTATTTATCATGCAATTGCTTCAGTCTTTTAAAAAACATTCAAGATAATAGGAGTCTCAAACAACTGTCATACCTTGCGTCCAGCTGTCAATAAGTTTACGGGCTTGAATGGCCTTCAACATTGAAAGGTGCTCTAGTTGCACATATTTCAAGTCATCAACTGTTTCAACACCTATGCCAGAGTACTGGGTGCCCGGTACTCTAGGGACGATTGTGTATTTTACTTTTGCTGTATATTTATTCATCTCTGGAAGGAAGGGGGTGCCAGTGGATAGGTCCGCCCCGGGTGCCAATACTCTAGGAACTCCCCTGTTTAGGTCTGTCCTGGTGTTCACGGTATATATGACCTTTTAGTCCTGCAGAGGAAGATAACTTCCTTATACACCTTGTAAATGGACAATCAAATCTTTTGTTATATTCATTTGTCTGGAACTGGCAATGGGTAACATATCTCCTTACTGATTTTGAAACATGTTTACAGAGACGACATGTATACTCGATATCCATTGTACAGATTTACCATTAATCAAGCTAAATATGCTGAGGCATATCTCCTTAGAATATACTTAAGAGGGAAAACACTGACCCTCTAAGCTGCCTTCCGTTTCAACGAGTGATGCGCCTCTGTGAAACAATGAAACAAACACAGACATCCGACGAACGTGAACCACAAACAACCGCCAGCCACATATTCAGTAATTACATATAGAAATAAATAGCATTAACATGCAATTTTAAATGTTCTATGCATCATGAAGAGTATATAGTATGATAAAATGTCAGTTTATATTGATAATTAAACAAATTGAAAAAAGAGAAAGTGAAATATTTTACAGAACAAAAATAGTAATTCAAATTACTACGTTTTCCTGGTCGGAAATACAGAAGAAACATGTAAAAAATACTGAATTTTCTAACAGTGCACTATATAGGGTAAGATTATTCCTGTTAGTGTGTGTAAGAGGTGATTGATGACTGTTATTGTTATTGGTGATGTTATTGTTATTATTCGTCGAGGTAATGGTAAACTAACTCTCTCTCTCTCGGTGCTTCTCCCCATGACGCACTTCAGCGACTCTCACTCCTCCTCCTCCTCCTCCTCTTATCCCTCCCTCCCTCCTCCTCCTCCTCCTCCTTTCTCTCCTACTATCCCCCTCCTCCTCCTCTTACACTCACATTGTCTCACCACACCTACATTCCTCCACCACATCCTCACCACACCTCACCTCAATACATCACACCTCACCTCAATACACCACATCTCACCTCACCTCACCACATCTCACCTCACCTCAATACACCACATCTCACCTCACCTCACCGCCCCTCAATCCCGAACCAACTCACTCACTTCTCTCCCCCTCCACCCACAAATCCCCTCCTAATCCCCCAATCCCCCCCCCAGGCAAAACAGAGAGAGGGTTGTGGGTTGGTAACGGAAGACATACAGACAAGCAACCAGTGTGTGTGTGTCTCAGGCGACGTGTAGTGGTGTGTGTTTGTGGATTCCCTCCTACAGGACACACGTGATCTACATGTAGGATCTACAAGTAGGATCTACAAGTAGGATCTACAGTCAACTTCTACCACTACCTGAAAGGATCTACCAGCCATCTACAGGTAAACTATCTTCATCTACAAGTGTTTACCCGTACCAGATGTATTAAGAGGAAGGGATGGTGGGTGAGAGGTGTAGAGAGTGTAGGTGAGAGGTGTAGAGAGTGTAGGTGAGAGGTGTAGAGAGTGTAGGTGAGAGGTGTAGAGAGTGTAGGTGAGAGGTGTAGAGAGTGTAGGTGAGAGGTGTAGAGAGTGTAGGTGAGAGGTGTAGAGAGTGTAGGTGAGAGGTGTAGAGAGTGTAGGTGTAACAGGGAGAGTGTGGAGTGGGAGGTGTAGGAGAGTGTAGTGAGAGGTGTAGGAGAGGTAGGTGAGGTGTAGGAGAGTGTGAGAGGTGAGAGGTGGGTGAGAGGTGTAGAGAGTGTAGGTGAGAGGTGTAGAGAGAGTGCAGGTGAGAGGTGTAGAGTGAGTGTGCAAGAGAGTGTAGGTGAGAGGTGTAGAGAGTGCAGGTGAGAGGTGTAAGAGTGCAGGTGAGAGGTGTAGGAGAGTGTAGGTGAGAGGTGTAGGAGAGTGCAGGTGAGAGGTGTAGGAGAATGAATTAACCCAAGCATAGATACAATGTCTCCAGGATTCTCAAAGGAACTAAGTTAATTATTTTCCCCTAACGAAATATATATATATATATATATATATATATATATATATATATATATATATATATATATATATATATATATATATATATATATATATATATACGAAACCCAACAGCCTGGCTCATAATGGTTTCCAAATTACACCGAGACTAACTTAAATCGATTTGATCTTTTATAATCTCTAAACAAGAAGTAAGTTACCCTATGTTTGTTTGTGAATACGGTTCAAATGTTTGTGTTTACCGTGTGATGTGTCTTACGGTAAATAAATGTCTTTGTTATAGTCATCTACACTGACACGTACAGGAAATACCACTGTGTGTTTCCAATTGACTAATATATTTGATTTATTCATTTAAAGATTTATTCTAATGTATTCTTTATTCACTTTCTGTACCTTGCTGTATGTATGTATGCTGTATGTATTTTATGTATGTATAACGAGACGTAAACAAAATAGGGAAGGAACCAAGAACACGTCCTGCGGGGCAACACTGACCTTGGGAGCCGTGACGTCATAGGTTCTCACTCGACCTCCTCCCTTAAATATACGAATTCGTGTTTACCGATGTTTAGGTTGTTACTCCATCGTTAGTCTAGATATGAAGTAAAAAATACCGTGAAGGTGACACGAATCTTATTTAATGACTTCATGATCTAATAACTGGTCATTCACGAGTCATGCAGTGTTGCCAAGTGGTCCAATAATAAGAAACTGTTGACACATCTCTTGTCTCTATGTGTTACCAAAGGTGGTGAAAGGCGGCGAGTTGGCAACAAGTGAACTTGGAGATAAAACAATTATTTGATGATGGTAATAATAATAAAAATACTACTACTACTACTAGGTAATTGGGTAGGTAGGTATATTATGTACTGTAGATAGTTAGGTTAATTATGTGTAAATTAAGTACTAATTACCCAAGAAGTAGAGAGATAATGAAGCCTGTTAGTGCCGTCATTTAACTTTTTCACAAGTTCTTTGACTCAAGTTTAAAAATAACTGAAACGAGGAAACTTTCAAGAAAAAATAACAAGGAAAAAACAGAAGCAAGAAAATAACGTCAAAGAGAACTGATATGATGAGTCAAGTCGAGTTGGTGTTTATGTATTATATATTTACTGTGACAATATACACACAATGAACTAATAATTACATATATAACTGACTATTCCTTGTTTATGTATATATCCCTATTATGTTGTGTGTGTATGTGTATGTATGTTTGTATATTCGACCATTGTTTTAAGGTTATGTCAATTCAGTATGGTCTGTATATAGAACAGACAGTAGTAAACATTGAGGTGTATAAGAGAGGGACTGTAACATGTAACTCTTTGAAGCTGAGTCATTTTTCTCTCAACTGGATTCGTAATGTTTGGTTGGTGAAGGTTTATTTGTGATCTTTCTACCACGACTTGTATCTCCAGGTGCACCCACCATCCTTCTGCAGGAGCTGTCAGCTGTAGGAGTTCAAATCTACTAGTAGTACCCACCCACGGGAGTACCCGCCCACAGGAGTACCCACCCACTACCATCACCAGAAAGTAGAGAAGACAGTGTTGAAGTGTTGGCCGCCAGAGGTCCTAGACAGTGAAGGGGATAATTGAGGACCCTACACCTCTAGCATCCTTACGCCCTCTTCCAAGACGACCAGGAATTGCCTCTGAAGTCACAAGAATGTCCCTCCTTCCCTCGGGATCACCCCATTTCTTATCCCTCCTCCTCTTCTTCCTCCTCTTCTTCTTTTTCTTCCCTGTGACCTCAGGCGACGTTCAAGGTCAAAGTTCACAGGAGGATTTCTCTGCCTCATCTGGTCAACGACTACAGGAGGAACTACAAGACGAGGATGGTAAGATGCTTGTAAAATGTCTTCCTAGTTTAGATTCATTTCGTATTAGGAACACCAACACAGATACCGGGTACAAATACAAGGGCAGGTACAGATATAACCACAGGTACTACTAGTGGAGATACAAGTGCAAATCAGGTAAAGATACAGGTACAGGTACAATTACAGGAACAAGTATAAGTATACACTACAACTGAAACTGCGGGTACAAGTGTATATACTACAACAGTAATTACAAATAAAACTACAGCTACAGGTACATAATATATATAACAATACATTTACCTATAAAATTCCAGGTTACAGGTGTATTTATATAACACTGCAGTTAGGAGATTACAGACAGGTAACAGGAGTAACCTGTTTAGTGTCACATCACATGAACACAGCCGAGGTGTAGAGGACGGGCAGGACCCAGGCTTAGGACCTCAGTAAAATATTCAAGGAGATTATGTGTGTTTGTGAACATTTGAATATGAGTTGAGTTCCAGTTAACCAATGTAATACTGTACCATCCACTGATAGATGAACTGATGAAGGTTAGGTTAGACTAGGTTAGGTTAGGTTAGGTTAAGTTAGACTAGGTTAGGTTAGGTTAAGTTAGACTAGGTTACGTTAGGTTAGACACGATTAATGTTAGACTAGGTTAAGTTAGGTTAGACACGATTAATGTTAGACTAGGTTAAGTTAGGTTAGACCATGCTATGTTAGACAAGGTTAAGTTAGACTAGGTTAAGTTAGGTTAGACCAGGCTATGTTAGACAAGTTTAAGTTAGACTAGGTTAAGTTAGGTTAGACCAGGTTAAGTTAGACTAGGTTAAGTTAGGTTAGACACGATTAATGTTAGACTAGGTTAAGTTAGGTTAGACACGATTAATGTTAGACTAGGTTAAGTTAGGTTAGACACGATTAATGTTAGACTAGGTTAAGTTAGGTTAGACTAGGTTATGTTAGACAAGGTTAAGTTAGACAAGGTTAAGTTAGACTAGGTTAAGTTAGGTTAGACACGATTAATGTTAGACTAGGTTAAGTTAGGTTAGACTAGGTTATGTTAGACAAGGTTAAGTTAGACCAGGTTAAGTTAGGTTAGACACGATTAATGTTAAACTAGGTTAAGTTAGGTTAGACTAGGTTATGTTAGACAAGGTTAAGTTAGACTAGGTTAAGTTAGGTTAGACAAGGTTATGTTAGACAAGGTTAAGTTAGACTAGGTTAAGTTAGGTTAGACAAGGTTATGTTAGACAAGGTTAAGTTAGACTAGGTTAGGTTAGTTGAACATTTTTATACCAATGTAACACCGAACCATTACACCCCCACTGACAGACGACTTCGTGGTTGTGTGTTACTACGGGTCGTGGGCGGTGTACAGGCCAGGTCAGGGTAAGTTCGACGTAGAGAACATCGACCCTCACCTGTGTACACACCTGATCTACGGCTTCGCTGGCCTCCGACAGTCGAACAACACCATCGTCAGCCTCGACCCTTACAACGACCTCTACGATAACTACGGTAAAGGTACGAAGCAGCCCCTTATACGACAACTACGACACAGGTAAGAGGCGGCCCCTTATACGACAACTACGACACAGGTAAGAGGCGGCCCCTTATACGACAACTACGACACAGGTAAGAGGCGGCCCCTTATACGACAACTACGACACAGGTAAGAGGCGGCCCCTTATACGACAACTACGACACAGGTAAGAGGCGGCCCCTTATACAATACGACACAGGTACGACGGCTTGACACGTAGGTAACACCCTTCTGTAATAGACGGCGGCAAGAGGAAGCTGGTCTTAAGAAGGACTTAGCACAGAGGTAAGTAATCAGAGAGTACATAAGCAGCCTCCTCACCAAGCAGGGAAACAATGAAGTGCAATACAAAGGTAAGCAACATTCACAACACGAACGATCATACTTCATTAACTTAAGTCCCTCACAAACACACGTTAAGCTATCTCTCCCATATGGCACAGGTGGAAGGGGAAAAATACCCTCTAATTAAGACGCAGGTAACTCTCAAGACCCCGATAACGACCCAGGTAAAAAGGGTTGGGGGGGGTCGGATAGTGAGTCATTGGAAATATTGAGAACGACGATAAGAGGACAAAGGTGGGCACAGTACTCAAGTGTGTAAGCGAGCATTGAACTCAGTTTTTATCAGACACGTGTACGTTTTTATTAGGGTGCTTTTGTGTGTGTGTGTGTGTGTAAATACCAGGATCATCCATAACACACGCACACGTGAACCTTCATAAGAGTGTTCCAAAGAAAAGCTTTTAAAATAATTGTCTCCATCTCTCAGACTCAGAGGAGCGGTGTGTGGTGTTTCAAAGGTACTGATGAATATTATAGTAGTCGGGTGTAACACATTATTTACTGCGTCCTCTGTGTGTGGTTGAGGGGGGAGGTGTGTGGTTGAGGGGGGAGGTGTGTGTGTTGTTGAGGGGAGTGTGTGTGGTTGAGGGGAGGTGTGTGTTTGGTTGAGGGGGAGGTGTGTGTTTGTTGAGGGGAGGTGTGAGGGGGGAGGTGTGTGTGTGTGGTTGAGGGGGAGGTGTGTGGCTGAGGGGGGAGGTGTGTGTGAGGGGGAGGTGTTGAGGGGGAGGTGTGTGTGTGTGTGGTTGAGGGGGGAGGTGGTGTGTGTGGTTGAGGGGGAGGTGAGGGGGGAGGTGTGTGTTTGGTTGAGGGGGGAGGTGTGTGTGTGTGTGGTTGAGGGGGGAGGTGTGTGTGTGTGTTGAGGGGGGAGGTGTGTGGTGAGGGGGGAGGTGTGTGGTTGAGGGGGAAGGGGGAGGTGTGTGTGTTGTGTGTTGTTTGTGTGTTTGGTTGATAATGTGTGTGTTTGTATAATAATTTTAATTTTATTTTACATATACAACTACAATAAAACATCATCATTTACATATAACATCTTGCTCTTTTTACTCATATTAGTCTTATATTTTAACATATTTACACTTAATAAATTTACAAACATCATCATCACCTCTACAACAACACAAAACACAAACTTATCATTTACGTCACCCGGAAACGTAAATACCTCATTAAACACAGGTCAAATTATCACCCTCTAGTAATTCCCAACGTCTTAAGAGCATTTTTTATTGATTTTTTTACACACTCGGAGGAATTTAGTGTCTGTGTTTATATGAGAAAATAAGGGAATTATTGAGGGTGTTTTCGCGCATAGCTGTCATCATTTGTTTTCTTGAGGGTTTATAAACAAGGGGGTTTGTGGTTTTTTTTTATCCCCATTAGTGAAAGTAAACACACTGGTTTATGATGTTGCTCTTTCTTCGGGTGTGTGTGTGTGGAGAGAGAGGGAGGGAGAGGGAGAGGGAGAGGGAGAGGGAGAGAGAGAGAGAGAGAGAGAGAGAGGGAGAGGGAGGGAGAGAGAGAGGGAGAGGGAGAGGGAGAGAGAGAGAGAGAGAGAGAGAGAGAGAGAGAGAGAGAGAGAGAGAGAGAGAGATGTATAGAGACACCACATACATACATACATACATACATATATACTGTACATACATACTTACATACATGGATACCTAACCTACCTTAAAACATTATTGCCTTCGCTGTACACACACACACCCACACCCCCACACCCACACCCACACCCACACACACACACACACTCATGACCTTTCTATTTCCAGGTGCCTACAAGAGGTTTACCCGCCTTAAGGAAATCAACACTGACTTGAAGACCTTGTTGGCTATTGGTGGCTGGAACGAGGGATCCACCAAGTACTCACAGGTAGGTCACTCGCAGGTCACTCACTAGTACCTCACACACACCTGGATGATATAGGTGGTTGATACTCACAGGTAACTCACAAGTAACTCACAGGTAACTTACAAGTAATTCACAAGTAACTCACACACACCTGGATGTAACTATTATTTTTATTTTCTTCTTAATTAACAAATATCAATATAGGTACAGGTAACGGCAACAGGTACAGTTACAGGTACAAATAATTAACTCCGTAAATATTATCACTATTCACAATTACCAACCATTAATCACCACAACAATCACCACATACCGTACAATGTTCCAATCACTACTGCTACATTACAATCACCATCCCTTTCATATACTAAATCACCAATCACACCAGTCTCCGCCTCCTCCTCCAGATGGTGTCGAGCAAGAGCACGAGGTCGACCTTTATTGAGAGCTGTGTTGAGTTCCTTCACAAGTATGGCTTCGATGGCCTCGACATCGACTGGGAGTATCCTACACAACGAGGAGGTCGACCTGAGGACAAGGTGTGTGGGTGTGGGTGTGTGTGTGTGTGTGTGGGTGTGTGTGTGTGTGTGTGTGTGTGTGGGTGTGTGGGTGTGTTTGCTCGAATCTGATAGCGTGTTTTTTCTCTTAATAATGAGTGTGTTTGTTGCTTACCTAAATATAGCCTTCCTAGACATCATCAAAAAACAAATATCGATGTTTCTGTCTGTCTCTGTCTTTCTACTACTCTCCTGAACAATATCTGTCTGTCTGTCTGTCTCTATCAATGTCTTGTTCTGACTGTCAGTTTCTCATTTCTCTGTCTCTCTCACATCCTAATTACATATTTATTATTATATTACTCTCTCTCTCTCTCTCTCTCTCTCTCTCTCTCTCTCTCCGGGAAAACCATAAAAGAAAACGAAAACTAGTTTAGGGTAAACTATTTTCCTCCAAACAAACATAAATTTCACTTTACCGTAACTTAGTTTTATGGCACCAGCTCCCCCTTGTCCACTTAACGAAATTTTATACACGTGTTCTACTTTAGGAAACTTTACACCATATTTATAATAAACACTACTGAAAATAGGTCTCTGCAGGCTGGGTTAGGTTAGATTAAGTTAAGTTATCTCTTCTTTAAGTCGCTAATGCTCTTATATCATATAGTTATAATTTCTCTTAAGTGTCTTTTTAATTTCCCGTCTTTTTAAGGTCAACTTTGGTCACTTGTTGGACGAGATGAGGTCAGAGTTCAACAAACATGATCTCCTGATGACGTCGGCTGTGTCGGCGGGCAAAATCACCATTGATCTCGCCTATGATGTAGCTGCTTTGGCCAGGTCAGGTCAGGTCAAGGTTCACCGTTGTAGAAAATTGTAATGATAGTTAATTTTAGTGGTAGACTCACCCTCCCATACCTCTCCCTCCTCAACCTTCCTTCCACCTCACTCTACCCTCCTTCCACCTCCCTCTACCCTCCTTCCACCCTCCTTCCACCTCCCTCTACCCTCCTTCCACCTCCCTCTACCCACCCACCTCCCTATTCTCTCACCTTTTACTCCTCACCATCAGGAACCTCGACCTGGTGAACCTGATGGGGTATGACCTGCACGGTAGCTGGGAACACTACGCCCATCACCACTCCCCGCTCTACGCCCACCCTCTCGATAAGGGCATGAACGCACTCTTGAACGTCGTAAGTTGACATTAAACAACGTGTAAAGTATAAGTAGATTGATTTTTATGTCGTTAAGTGTAGGTATTTAAACAAGATAGAAATCTACTTAAATTCTCAAACACTTGTAGTGGATCATCTTACTTTACAAAACAATAAGAATAATTATAAGTGATTTTTGTTTATTTGTAAGTGTTTATTTTAACTTACATTTAACAGAAATATATTCAAATCCTTAAACATTTTTAAGCAGAACAGATTTTAAGTATAAGTGACTTCCATATATTCTCTTTAAGTGTGTTACTTTAACTTAAATGAAGACAAAGATGTACTTAAATCATAAAACATAACATAAAATGGTAGTCTTACTTTAAATATACAGCCCTAAAATACTCTACAATCACTCTGGCTCTATAAACTTCAACGGATACCTCCCTAACACACTCTACAATCACTCTGGCTCTATAAACTTCAACAGATACCTCCCCAACACACTCTACAATCACTCTGGCTCTATAAACTTCAACGGATACCTCCCTAACACACTCTACAATCACTCTGGCTCTATAAACTTCAACAGATACCTTCCTAACACACTCTACAATCACCGTGGCTCTATAAACTTCAACAGATACCTGCCTAACACACTCTACAATCACCGTGGCTCAATAAACTTCAACAGATACCTTCCTAACACACTCTACAATCACTCTGGCTCTATAAACCTCAACAGATACCTCTCTAACACACTCTTCCATCACCAGGCTCTATAAAAGGACACAGGAAAAGATATACTCTGTAGTTTACAAATAGTGCCTCTCATAATAGTCACTCTTCAGGCTACAATATACCTAATGGGTGTGTATTGCTAGTCACTGGAAACCTCATTGAGATCGACTCCTTGCCTCTGGTCCTGTTTTCTTTCTGTCTGTCTGTCTGTCTGTCTGTCTGTCTGTCATAATGATTAACCATGTCATCATTATTACACTATCTCATCATCTCTCTCTCTCTCTCTCTCTCTCTCTCTCTCTCTCTATTCAAATAGGGCCAAATCTTAATGGGGACCCAAATTACCCATAAACCTAACTTAATCAGTCATAATAGGCAGGTTAGGTTAGAGAGAGGAGGGAGGGAAGGGGGGAAGGGGGGGAATCCTAGCTCAATCAACTTTCAATTTCAATCCTCCATCTCCAGTTTTTTCCATTTTATTTATTTATTTTTGTATAATTTTATTTATTATTATTATTATTATTATTATTATTATTATTATTATTATTATTATTATTATTATTATTATTATTATTATTATTATACACAGGACTGGGCGGTAAGGTACTGGATTAGCATTGGTCTACCGCCTAAGAAGCTGGTGATGGGAATGGGACTGTATGGCCGCTGTTACACATTAGCCCGGGCGGACGAACACGATGTTTACTCTCCCGCTTATCAACCTGGCCTCCCTGGACCTTATACTAGAGAAGCTGGAGTCCTCGGCTACAATGAGGTAAGTAGTGATTTTTAATGTTTGTGTTCTGTTTTCAGTGTTTACTTGTCTCTGTTTGATTATTCTGTCGACTTTGGTAGGTGGATGGTATTAGCTTATGAAGGTGTGTGTGTGTGTGTGTGTGTGTGTGTGTGTGTGTGTGTGTGTGTAGAGTTTTCCTTCCCAATATTAAGCTCGCTATTATACAAATTTTCTCTTCGTAAAAATGACCAAACTTGGGAATGTATATTTTCGACCCAGAGTGGTGGAGAGAGAGGATAATGGAAGGGAGGGGGGCAGGTGATATTTTATAGCTAATTAAACAATCTTACCTGAATCATCCATCCTTGACTGAAATAACAGTTGTAAATATTTTACTTTTGACTGACTGACTGACTGACTGGCTGGCTGGCTGGCTGGCTGGCTGGCTGGCTGGCTGACTGACTGACTGACTGACTGATTCCACACCCTCTGCCCATTCATACCTAGAGCCCTTCATTGCGCTCCCTGGCCCCAAGGTGAAATACTCAAGTTTGAATCTAAAAGTAAAGAAAAAGACTTGGGAGAGGGTATACTACTTGCTCTCCCCCACTCTCACCCTCTCCCACCCTCTCCCCCCTCGCCCTCCCTCTATCCCTCTCCCTCCCTCGCCCTCCCTCTATCCCTCTCTCTCACCCTCTCCCTCCCTCTCATTCTCTCCCTCCCTCTCACCCTATCTTTCCCTCTCACCCTCTCCCTCCCTCTCACACTCTCCCTCCCTCTCACCCGCTCCCTCCCTCTCTCCCTCCCTCTCACACTCTCCCTCACCCACAGATCTGCGAGGAACAGCTGAGACAGAAGTGGACGGTAGTGAGAGAGAAACACATGGTCTCTCCCTATGCCTACCATGACCGTCAGTGGTGTGGCTACGATGACGTCAAGTCCCTCACTGTCAAGGTGAGTGTGTGTGTGTCAAGGTAAAAGTGTGTGTCAAGGTAAAAGTGTGCGTCAAGGTAAAAGTGTGCGTCAAGGTAAAAGTGTGTGTCAAGGTAAGTGTGTGTGTGTGTGTGTGTGTGTCAAGGTAAGAGTGTGTGTCAAGGTGAGCATCATATAGTACTTAGTGTGTGTGCTCTTGGATTACCTGAAGACTAGTTCCTCAGCTGATTACACCACATAATTAACACCTTAAAGCTAACAGTGGGGGGGGGGGGTAGGTTAGGGTAGCCTTGGTTAATGCTAGGTTAGGTTAATTAGGTTTATGGTAGGTTTGTTTATGGTCGGTATGGTAGATTAGGTTGTGGTAGGTTAGGTTAACTTAGGTTAGGTTAGCACCAGAATAGATTAACTCAGCTTAGGGAGAGTTAACTTAAGGGGTTGTTTATCTTCAGGTGAAACATCCAGGGCGTATCTAATCTTCACCTAATTCTTAATGTTTTCTCTGTATTTACCTTGACACTAAAACATTGATTCCAGCAATATCACACCCACTACCTCCTTCCGCAGGCGCTGTACATCAAGGAGAAGGGACTCGGAGGCGGGATGGTGTGGTCGATAGAGACTGATGACTTCCACGGGTTGTGTCACCAGCATAACGATACCTTCCCCCTCATCACCACCATCCACACTATCCTGAGGGACGGTCCACCTGCCCCTACACCCACACCTGAGCCAGAGACTACCACGGTGAGGAGAGAGAGAGAGAGAGAGAGAGAGAGAGAGAGAGAGAGAGAGATTAAAATGGTGTATATTACATTTTCTTCATTACAGGAACCACCCACGACCACACCTGCCCCCACACCTGCACCCACACCTGCCCCCACCACCACCTGTCACAGAGATGGCTTCAACGCTGACCCTAACGGCGACTGTACTGTCTTCTACGAGTGTCACCAGGCAAGGAGAGAGAGAGAGAGAGAGGGAGAAGCCAGGTTGTGTGTGTGTATGTGTGTGTGTGTGTGTGTGTGTGTGTGTGTAAAACAGATTTGTATAAAGGTCAGGGCACTTTCCCTTGTTGTTGTGACAGAGCCGCGTAATCTTGGGGAATTTGTGTTTAAATCCCCACGAAGGAGGATTACTCCCCTTCAGGGTATATAAGCAAAAGTACAGTACGCTCCCCGTCAGAGATAAGCCGACATACTCCTCCCCCGTCAGGGTATGGAAGCAAAAGTATTGGTCCGTTCCCCCTCCCCTTCATCCCCAACCAACCATCAAATACTTCCTTCACTATATCCCCACCAGCTATCTCAATATCAACACACACACACATTTCCTCGCCCTATCCTCTTTTCATGCATTTCTCAGTATCGTACTCTCTCTCTCTCTCTCTCTCTCTCTCATCCATTATTCCTCATTATCCGTCCACCCTGCTCCAGCTCCTCATTTGTCAGCCATTTCGTTTTTTTTTCTGTTATGAATTCTGCTCCGTTCGTACCTCAGGGTGGCTGGGTAGGGCGGGCAGTGTCACTTGTAGCAGTAGTGGTAAAGGATAATGTCAGGGCAGCAGCAGGGAACCTGCAAGTTTGTGCTGGCCACCAGGCTGGAGGGGAAGCTGCCATTCACGCCATGAGAACGATATTTGAGCAGCGTGATTGAGGCCGTTCTCCTGGTGGACGCTTCAAACGCATTCAACATACTTAACTTTAAGGCCGCACTACACAACATCAAGATCAATTGTCCAAGCTTTGCAATGTATGTTGAAAATTCCTATAGGAATCCATCAGACCTCTATATAGAAAACAACAAGGCTCTAAGAGGTGATACCGTCATACAGTCAACCGAGGGAACAACGCAGGGGGACCATGTCGCAATGGCAATGTGTGCAATAGGCCTATCCGTGCTCCAACACACAATAAAATTTGAAACAACTGAGGACAAGCAAGTGGCGTACGCTGATGACCTTACAAGAGCAGGAAAAGTGGAGGACATCAAAAAGTGGTGGGACCTGGTAACATCACGAGGCCCACAAATAGGGTACCACCCAAACGCCAGCAAGTCCTTCTTCATTGTGAAGCCAGAACATTATGAACGGGCAATGGAGGTGTTTGGCGGAAGTGAGGTCAAAATAACAAAGGATGGCCAAAGACACCTAGGCGCAGTAATCGGCACGACTAACTTCAAGACCGAGTACTTAACAGGAATGGTGAATGAGTGGGTTAGGGAACTCCAAGCTCTGTCTGAGATTGCTAAAACAGAGCCACACGCGGCTTTTGCGGCATTCATCCATGGAGTCAAGCATCGCTAGAACTACCTGATGCGCACTATCCCTGATATTGGTCCCCTCCTCCACCCTCTGGAAGAAGCTATCAGCGTCAATTTCATTCTCAAATTAGTGAAACACTCCTCACTTCACCCCAGCTGAAAGATCACTCCTTGCACTACCACCGAGACTGGGAGGGATGGGATTGACCAATACAGAGGAGATTGCTGTCACCGAACATCAAAACTCAGTTAAGCTCACGGCAGCCCTCACGGACCACATAATAGCTCAGAACGCAACAGGGGAGGTGGATATCAGTGAAGTAAACAAGATTCGAAGGGCCATTACGACAGATCGACAGCACTGCCAAAATGATAAGTTACAGCAACTGTTGCTGCAAGTACCAGAGAATTTGAAAAAAAAGTAGCTATAGAGCAGGAGGTGGGCGCCTCGAACTGGTTAACTACGTTACCGATAAGGGCAAATCGTTTCATTCTCAATAAACAAGAATTTACAGATGCCAATGCTCTAAGGTACGGTAGGCCAGTGGAAGGTTTGCCCTCCCAATGCGCGTGTGGCTCTTCCTATGACGCCGATCACGCCATGGTGTGCAAGAAAGGGGGCTTCATATGCATGAGGCATGACAAAGTAAGGGACCTCACAGCAAATATGTTGAAGGAAATCTGCCGTGATGTCAGGGTAGAACCGACCCTCCTTCCATTGGACGGTGAAATTTTCCAACATAGGACTTCAAACACGTCCAACGAGGCCCGTGTTGACGTCAAAGCTCGAGGATTCTGGACGCGGGAACAGCGAGCCTTCGTCGACATCAGGATTTTTTATCCCATGGCCGCATGTCACCGTAACTTAGCTCTCGATGCTACACACAGGAGGAACGAGAACGACAAGATAAGGGCATACGGGGAGAGAATTCAGAACCTTGATCAAGGCAGCTTTACTCCTCTAGTGTTCACAACCTCTGGTGGGATGGGATCAAGTGCAAGATGCTTCAACGCCAGACTCGCGGATGTGATATCCGAACAGAAGCAGCAGCCCAGAAGTTATGTTACAGCCTGGATGAGATGTCGACTGTCCTTCTCTCTCCTTCGGTCGGCTTTGCTCTGCCTCAGGGGAACGAGAGCTTCGGGCCCAAAGCCGACAACAGTTGCAGATATTGACTATGAGGCTACAGTCACTGAATGCCGCATAGATCTGCGGCTCAACTAACTCAACACATCTAGGACAGCTACTTATGTATTAGGATATTTAATATTAAGGTAATAAAATGGTGGCGAAGGTATGGCTATTGGGGGAGGCTGGAAGCCATTAAAAAAATAATAGTAGCAGTAGTAGTAGTAGTAGTAGTAGTAGTAGTAGTAGTACCCAATCTTAACTATAAGGTTAGTTTTTTCTTCTGAGGACTGGGGGGGGGGACCTATAAATACTGGGGTCTATAAGGTCTGGGGCCCATTAAACCAGCAACGTGTCATGATATAAAGCTACTGATTGGTACTAAGTCAGAACAAATGGTTAACCGGAATAATTTAACCATATATCCCACGTTAAAAGAGAGCTATGAAATGTTAATGGCAGATAACTATTCTACACTTTGTTAACCTTTTAAAACACGATGACATATTTCCTTGAGTACGATGATTTAATCCCTTGAGTACGATAACTTAAATAATTATATTCAAGGGGTTAAACATCATACTTAAGGGATTAAGTCATCGTACACAAGGAGCTAAGTAATCGTACTCAACGGGTTAAGTCATCGTACCCTAGGGGTTAAGTCATCGTACTCAGGGGTTAAGTCATCTTTCTCAAGGGGTATGATGACAACCCTTTGATTACAATGATAACCCACTGCGTGCAATATCATCGTACTCAAGGAAATGTCTGTGTGTGTGTCTGTGTTCCCGCACTAGAGAGATAGAGGTAGAAAAGATGGGGGTTGGGAGAGGGAGCTGGCAGTTACAGGTAGTTCTAATAGGCCCTAGTTCTAGTAGACTCCAGTTCTAATAGGTCATAGTTCTAATAGGAGCCAGTTATAATAGGCCCAAGTTCTAATAGACTCCAAAAATTAAGCCCATTAAGATTAAGGCCCTTATTATTGGAGCCCATTAGATTAGAGCCTTAGTTATTTAGGTGAATATTGAGACTATCACAGGACGGATATTAAGGCTATGGAAGGTGGAGAGGAAAAATGACCATATGTTAGTCTTATAAATTATGTCCCCCCAAAGTTAGGTTCGGTTATTACACACAAAAACTCGGCTTAGCATATATGTCATTGGTTGGGCACGGTGGGGATGAAACTCGTTTACCTCGCCGAATGAACTTGATTGACGCTTAAGGTACATTACGAGCTGGTGGGGGAGGGTGATGGAGGAGAGGAAGGGGGTGATGGGGGAGAGGAGGGGGGTGATGGGGGAGGGGGGGGTGATGGGGAGAGAGAAGGGGGTGATGGGGGAGAGGAGAGGAGAGGAAGGGGTGATGGGGGAGAGGAAGGGGGGTGATGGGGGTTATTTATTAATTATTTTGTGTTTATGTCCAAATGTTTAGTTTGTAATTTTATTTTATTTATTCTGTTGACTGTATCTCCTTACCCATTATTTTAACCTTTTATAAACATTATATTAATCATGAATAAATTTTCTTTTATATAAATTAATCAAAGAAGAAAATATTATTATTCATTATATATTTTATCTATATAATATACATATATAATTCAGTAACTTATATCAAATTAGTTGTTGGTATCCCACTTATATACACATAAGGGTCTTTTAAAAAATGTAGACTCACTGTCAAAGATATTTTCGTGAATGATTGTATTCAAACAGCAACACTGTCCTGACTTATTAGTGTACAGTTCGAGGTCTCCCACGAAAAAAAAAAAGAAATCATGAAAGTGGGTAGACAATGTTTTTGAGACACCCTGTATATGATTTTTTCCCCGGGGTAATGTCTAATTAAAGTGTGTGGTGTTCCCCTGGCAGGTGGAGGGAGAGTGGGAGGAGTGGTTGTTTCACTGCCCTCCTGGTACAGTCTTTGTGGAGGATCTGCAGAATTGTGACTTTCCCGAGAACCACCCAGCGTGTCGCCTCCTGCCACCCATCACTCTACCGACCACCACTCAGCCAGACACTACCCTTCCACCCACTACCCTGCCGCCCACCACCCTGCCACCGGATACTACCCTGCCACCTACGACTCTGCCAGATACTACCCTGCCACCTACGACTCTGCCAGATACTACCCTGCCACCGCCCACTACCCTGCCACCCATCTCTCAGCTCAATTCCTCGCCTGACATCCCAGACACAGAAAATGATTTAGCGAACGTATTTTCTGATAGCTACGGGTACCAGGCCTTCATAGTGAGAGGCGGCGCTGGGAGACGCACACAGCACCTTCACACGGCACGTAACGAGATCACAGCAGTCACACGCCCCAGAGAGACACCAGCTGGTACCACACAGGCTCTCATTCAACGACCAGCCACAGCCGAGGGTCAGGAATCAGCCTCACAGCCTTCAGACACAGACTCACTGCAGCCGCCGAAAACAGCCCCGGGTTCTGGCTACGCCTACCCGTTCCTGGCGTACAGACAGTATCCGGAAACAGACCCTGGCACACGACACACCCAGCACCCATCACAGACGTACAGACAGCCTCAGGAAACAACCAAATCCACAACATTGGATGACGTAGAACACAAGAAGCTGAAAAAGAAACAGAAATGGCTAAAGGCCTACAAGTTCTTTTCAGAGAAGTCAAACAAATTATTTTTTCAGAAAGCCGAAAAAAGAAATAAATAAGAAAGGCGAAATTAAGCAGGAGGGATGAGAGGGGAAATATTGTCCAAGAATAGTTCGTTAAAAAAAAAGTCAGGATTTCTTTTTTAACGATGGAAAAAAAAACTGAGGTGATTATAAAAGGATAGAAGCTGTGGTAAGATGTTTGTCTCCTCGGGAATATGAGAGTTAAGAAGAAGTTTTTTGTTTACTGAGTTTAAGATCTGTCAGAAAACTTCACAACAGTTGCTTCAGAACAGCTGATCACAAAAACAACAACAAACTAGCAATAGAAAACGGACAAGTGATAGCATTCTCCAGTCGACAGTCACCGACCCACCACTCTAATATCTCTGTGACCGGGCCAGCCAGTCAGCCAGCCAGCCAGCCAGTCAGTCAGTCAGTCAGCCAGCCAGCCAGTTAATCTCCACCGCAGCTGATGTTATGATTATACGTCTAAGCTTGTGCTTATAAATACTACCTTGTATCTTGTGTTATGAATATATGACCCAAGCTGAGGGGTGCCTTTCTGTCCGGACTCTCCTTGTTACCCAACCGACTGACTTCAATCAATGATATAAACTGGTACTTGTGGGCCCCTAGTCCTTAATAGCCTCAGTCTTAATGGGCCCCAATCCTAAAGCTCACATAAGGTTGGGGCCCAATAAGACTTGACTCTATTTCAGGTTAGGTTTGGGGCCCAATAAGACTTGACTATTTCAGGTTAGGTTTGGGGCCCAATAAGACTTGACTATTTCAGGTTAGGTTTGGGGCCCAATAAGACTTGACTCTATTTCAGGTTAGGTTTGGGGCCCAATAAGACTTGACTATTTCAGGTTAGGTTTGGGGCCCAATAAGACTTGACTATTTCAGGTTAGGTTTGGGGCCCAATAAGTCTTGAGCCTACTAATTGGTGTTCATTAGGGCTGGGGATCAGAAGGACTGAGACCATTAAACACAGGAACCCAAACTACCTCACAAACTACCTTCCCAATTGTAACATTAAAAAACGAAATGTATCACTACAGTACAGACATAAACAATGCCGGTAATTAAATGCTATTCGAACCCACGTCACGAGGTACAGAAACTAGCACTGCAGCAAGACCATCCAGCTCCTCCTAAAGGTCAGGTATATTTAAGAAGTAACCTCCAGCGTCGAGAGCCACCTGAAGACTGAACACTTACAACCACACGTCGCCTTTTATCCCCGAGTGACTTTCCCTCACAGCCTTCCTCCCCCCCGGGTGCTGATAATGGACTCGTCCACGTAATCAGCTTTCACCTGAGCGAGTTCTTTAATATTTTAGTGTTGATGTTTTTGAATGACTATTTATTGCTTTTGTTTAATGGAAGGAAATAATGCTATTTATATTTTTGCGGTGAATAATCCGATTATGTGAAATTTAACGTTATTTTTAAATTGGCGGGACATAATTGTATTGTATGGAATTTGGCGATATTTACTGTCAATATTGGTGATAAATCCTCGTATGCTGTAATATTTAGTCAATTTACATTTTCTGTTTACTGTATCTCATTTTTTTTATTTATAAAGAGAGGTACAGGTGGAGGTAGAGGCACGGGGAGTCGTAGAGGTATTTTAACACCACAGCAATATAACGAGCAGCATTGAATAGCCGGATCCGATCCCAGACCTGAAACCGGATCCGAAATCGAACCCGAAACCGGATCCGCATGTTATGATGAGGCTTGGTTCGATTACTTCTGGGGTAGGTTAGGTTATAGGCAGATTTCGTTAAGTTAAATTAGGTTATGTTAGATTTGGTTAGATTAGGTTATGTTAGATTAGGTTAGATTAGGTTAGGTTAGGTTAGGTTAGGTTAGAAGTTAGTTTAGATAGACTTTCCCCATCATCAAACTCAAGAATATTAAGTGAAAGTAAGTAGAAAGTCAGAAGATAGACAATGTTCTAAATTAGAGATAAAGTGAAATGAGAATAAAGAGAAAATAGAAATTAACCAAAAGCATAGAAAGTTTTTTTTGGGGGGGGGGAGAACAGAGGAAGGGAAAGCCATTTGTTTACATCTCAAGGTCATAAGAAAGTCTACGTATGATGAGAAAGTTTGTGTCGAGAGAGTGAAAGGTTGGAGAGAGGAAGTGAAAGTGTCAGGACTTTTTGGTTCAGGGACTCTTGTGGTTCATAGCTTAATTGTAATACTATTTCTATATACGTTTTCTATACAAGTTTTCTAAGTAAGTTTTCTATAAACATCAATATCTGTTTAGTCTACGGTGCTAAATAACCCTGGCTCGTGACCTTGTTTACTTTTCCTCTTATAAACTCTCACCCAGAGTCCTTCCTCCCCCGTTGTGTTGAAAATGGACTCGTCTCTGTTTACATTTCAGGTACGGTATGGTAAATCATATGGCTGGGATCTTATGTTTAGTCATATTCATTTGTTTTAGGTTTGATCGTAAGTTTGGTTTAATTTTTTTATCGTGTTCAAGGTGTTAAGTCATCGTACTCAAGGTGTTAAGTCATCGTACTCAAGGGGTTAAGTCATCGTACTCAAGGGGTTAAGTCATCGTACTCAAGGGGTTAAGTCATCGTACTCAAGGGGTTAACTCAATAGTCCTTGAAGAGTTAATAAGAAAGTGAAAATCCCTCAACAGGAAAGAGAAAACAAAAAAGAAAGTAGAGACTCAATCCAAATCCTTCTGATGGCTGAGAGAGATTCAACCCTGGAGTGAAATCTAAGGAAAGGATGGTTAGAAAGTCTTAGAAATTGTTAAAGGATGAATGGAAAGTCTTCGGAGGCGGTGGTGAAGGGCCAAGACAGTACCTGAAGGTCACGCGTTTCTTAAGACGTAAGAGAAAATGTTTCTTTAAGGGGGAGGATGGGGGAAGTCCTATGGGAAAGTTATATGAAAGTGGGTGAAAGTTTTGGAGACGATGAGAGGCTTACCTTTCATTTCGGTCTGGTGACTGACTGATTGACCGACCGACTGACTGAATCACTCACTCACTCACACAAATTACAAGAGCTTTAGTCTCCCGTTGAAAATTAACTGAAGTCTCGTTTTCTCTCACTGAAAATATTGTATATCTTTGAGACACTGACCACACTTACTGAACACACTTACTGACCACACTTACTGAACACACTTACTGAACACACTTACTGAACACACTTACTGAACACACACACTTACTGAACACACACACACACTTACTGAGCACACCCATTGTTACCGTAGTCTATACTTTTTGCTCTTGTAATTTGTGTGAGTGAGTGAGTGAGTGATTCAGTCAGTCGGTCGGTCACTCAGTCAGTCACCAGACCGAAATGAAAGGTAAGCCTCCCATCGTCTCCAACACTTTCACCCACTTTCATATAACTTTCCCATAGGACCTTCCCCCATCCTCCCCCTTAAAGAAACATTTTCTCTTACGTCTTAAGAAACGCGTGACCTTCAGGTACTGTCTTGGCCCTTCACCACCGCCTCCGAAGACTTTCCATTCACCTTTAACAATTTCTAAGACTTTCTATCCATCCTTTCCTTAGATTTCACTCCAGGGTTGAATCTCTCTCAGCCATCAGAAGGATTTGGATTTAGTCTCTACTTTCTTTTTTGTTTTCTCTTTCCTGTTGAGGGATTTTCACTTTCTTATTAACTCTTCAAGGACTATTGAGTTAACCCCTTGAGTACGATGACTTAACCCCTTGAGTACGATGACTTAACACCTTGAGTACGATGACTTAACACCTTGAGTACGATGACTTAACCCCTTGAGTACGATGACTTAACCCCTTGAGTACGATGACTTAACCCCTTGAGTACGATGACTTAACCCCTTGAGTACGATGACTTAACCCCTTGAATACGATGACTTAACACCTTGAGTACGATGACTTAACCCCTTGAGTACGATGACTTAACACCTTGAGTACGATGACTTAACACCTTGAGTACGATGACTTAACCCCTTGAGTACGATGACTTAACCCCTTGAATACGATGACTTAACCCCTTGAGTACGATGACTTAACACCTTGAGTACGATGACTTAACCCCTTGAGTACGATGACTTAACCCCTTGAACACGATAAAAAAATAAACCAAACTTACGATCAAACCTAAAACAAATGAATATGACTAAACATAAGATCCCAGCCATATGATTTACCATACCGTACCTGAAATGTAAACAGAGACGAGTCCATTTTCAACACAACGGGGGAGGAAGGACTCTGGGTGAGAGTTTATAAGAGGAAAAGTAAACAAGGTCACGAGCCAGGGTTATTTAGCACCGTAGACTAAACAGATATTGATGTTTATAGAAAACTTACTTAGAAAACTTGTATAGAAAACGTATATAGAAATAGTATTACAATTAAGCTATGAACCACAAGAGTCTCTGAACCAATAAGTCCTGACACTTTCACTTCTTCTCTCCAACCTTTCACTCTCTCGACACAAACTTTCTCATCATGCGTAGACTTTCTTATGACCTTGAGATGTAAACAAATGGCTTTCCCTTCCTCTGTTCTCCCCCAAAAAAAACTTTCTATGCTTTTGGTTAATTTCTACTTTCTCTTTATTCTCATTTCACTTTATCTCTAATTTAGAACTTTGTCTATCTTCTGACTTTCTACTTACTTTCACTTAATATTCTTGAGTTTGATGATGGGGAAAGTCTATCTTAGCTAACTTCTAACCTAACCTAACCTAACCTAACCTAACCTAACCTGACCTAACCTAACCTAACATAACCTAATTTAACTTAACGTAATCTGCCTATAACCTAACCTACCCCAGAAGTAATCGAACCAAGCCTCTTCATAACATGCGGATCCGGTTTCGGGTTCGGGTTCAGATTAGGGTTCGATTTCGGATCCGGTTTCAGGTCGGATCCAAGGCCAAGGTGAAACACTACAGTTGAAGACACAGTAAGAAGAGAAATCTTAAGGAGAAAGAGGAAGACCTACCTGGAGGAGAAGAGACTCTGGCTGGCTTTTACAAGGTCGTATGAAAGTCTACACTTCAGAGAAAACTCGTACCTCTACCGTGAAAGCTTAGAGAAAGTAGATGAGAGTCAAAGTTAATTATTTTGGGTGTGACAGAGAGAGAGAGAGGCGTTCTTATTCATGGTATCGAGTGTTGTGTAGAAAATGGGTGTTCATAAACACCAGTCATGAGAAAACGAGAATTTTTCAAGGGAAGACTAACGGAAGTAGGACGACACCTCATGAATCTGTCGCAAACTTTTTGGGTCGCCAGGAGCTCCTCCCAGTAACAAAACTGGGAAAGTGGGTTACGGGAGCAGGTAACAACGTGGGATGGTTGGTCGGTAGGTCAGTGTGACGAAGCCCATCACTTTAACTTACTTTTACTTTTATCCTCTTACCAACTGATCGGCTCGTTAGCCGCTTGGGGGGTCTGTTACATCTCTGTTACATGCTGTTGGCAAGTACTGGGTATGAACTTGCTCCTAAATGTATCTGAGCCTGCTCTAGTGTTGGTGAAGTCTGGTCTTGAAAGAGCTCTCACT